TTCAGAAAATATGAATTTGCAGGCATTTCTGGAGGTTACCTCTGAGTCCTGGTCAGTTCTCATGGAATTCTCTGAATGTTTCCATTTATTTCATGAGAGCTGCTGTGATGTGTAACTGAATGTGACAGTTAACGTTACATGCAGATGGCCATAGGATCAGGTCCCTCATGAGGAAAACAGCATCTTCAGAGCTCGAGATGTAGAATTAAGCAATCCAAGGTCTTCATCCCAGCTATGATCCCTGAGCAGTGAGGGATAAGATTTAAGATAATTGTCCTATGCTGGTTAACCTGTGCTCTGTGAAGGCCAGGCCACAATACTAGCAGATCCAGAGAAGGAATACAAAGAACATAACAGCAAGGGCTGACTGTGGCTCTGCTGGTAAGGGGAGACAAAAGCAGGTTTGGAGATGGTGCAGCTGCTTCCCTGCTATATGACAGAGGTTGCTAAAGAGGAACCAACAGGAAACCCTACAGCATGGGAAACTTCATCCCTTCCTGTGTCATTTAGTGGTGAACTTAAATAATGAAAACAAAATCCAAACCCCCATCCTAAGTACTGTAATTAATTGAATAAATAAATACAAATAGTCAGTTCCACAGATTAACTCATGGTAATTGAGTTTCTCCCCCCTTCTTTTTTGACTTAGTTCTCTTGATTTAGTTGAGCGTCCACTTAAGCTGCATCAGGAGCAGGAGGGCACTTGCTTTGTCTTTTCTATGCTCTTCGGCTGTTTTGGTGCTTCATTATTTTGACCACTGTCTTTGCTGTCAGAGAAACAATGGTGGCACAATTGCTCTTATGGATCTTCCTCAGTGTACTTCCATACGTATTCTTTGCCCTTTTCCTTTCTCCTTCATCTGCTGTATCTCTTTTGATAAAGAATGGCCAGAAGTGCATGTAGCAGTCCAGACTGGGACTGCTGCTGATGTGCCTAATAGGATTATAAGACTTTCAGCATTAATCTTTATCTTGCTCCTCAGGCAGACTAACCTTTTACTTAGATTTTTGCCTTCTGTTGCACAATTAGCTGACTCTTCAGTGATTTCTTTACAGCTCCTGCTTTGTCCTTTTTCAAGGCCACTGTAATCGATGGAGACTTCCAGCATGGAGCACTGCAAGTTGTTAGGCTGTTGTGGTTATTTGTTTAGTGTAGCAAGGGAACTTTTCCTTTTTCACTGATGAATATCACAATTTCCTTGACTTTTCTTATACCCTGAAGATTTGCATCTGTTTTATCCCAGACTTCAGAGACAGATCTCTGTACCTTCTATGTAACAACTGCTACGTGAAGTTGAAGGATGTCTGCTTCTGTTTGTTGCATAGAAGATAAAGAGCTAAGGCTTCCTAGGGTACACAGCTCATTCAAAAGAGGCATGAAAGATGGAAATGGGTGGAGAAGAGAGGCTGACTCTGTATTTGTAGCCTGGTTTCCTAAGGAAATGAGGCTTAAGCAGTCTATTTTTCATCTGCTTCTAACTTGGATCCGTAAAGCAATTTCAGCCAAACTAGAGGTCAGAGAGGTCTCACATACCAAGTTTTTTTACATTATTTATCAAAATCACCTCACAGAATCATAATACTTCCCAACTTGGAAGGGTCCCACAAAGATCACGGAGTCCAACTGCTGGCTCCACACAAGGCTACCCAAAATCCAAACCCTGTGGCTGAGAGTGTTGTCCAAATGCTTCTTAAACTCTGGCAATTTGGGGCCAGGCCCACTGCCCTGGCAGCCCGTTCCATGCTCACCACCCTTGGTGCAGACCCTTTCCATAACCCCCAGCTGCTCCTCCCCTGACAGCTCCATGCTGTTGCAGAGCTCCCTGTGAGGAGCTGTAGCTGCCAAGAGGCCTCCCTTCAGCCTCCTCTTCTTTAGGCCAAACACACCAATTGCTGGACAAGGGAGCAGCTCACAGCACTGTCTGCCAGGAGGTAAAAGCTGCTGTGCTAACTCTGCAGGTAGGCCACAGATTTTGCCTTGCCACCTGGCGTGCGGCAGCAGGCACTGGGTCTGTGCCAGAGAGGCACTGGTACAGGCTGCCCAGTGATGTGGTGGACGCCCCATCCCTGGAGACTTTCAAGACCAGGCTGGATCAGGCTCTGAGCACCCTCATCTAGCTGTGGATGTCCCTGTTCATTGCAGGGACGTTGGACTAGATGGCCTTTAAAGGATCCTTCCAACTCTAAGGATTCTATGATTCTATGCAGTGGAGAAGGAAGGAGCACAAGAGTATGCACAAGAGTATCTGGGGTGTGGGAGAAGACATTGAAAGAAGAGCAGAGTAAGAAGCTGTTTGCTCTGCATTCATCTCCAGTCACTACAGGAGAGGAAGGACTGAGGTGGGATATGTTAAAAAACCATCAGTGGGTAGGAGCAACATTTTTCAGGCACTGGAAGGAGAAGGTAAGAATATTACTTCAGTTTGGTCAGCAAGGGTGACCTGTGTGCATGAGGTGAGGAAGAGTTTTTAGCACTGGTTCATTTGGGTGAGGTGTGAAGATCAGCAAAGCACACAAGGAAGACTTGGACAAGGAATGACTTGGTGGTTTGGGCAGAGTGACCGAGAATCAAACTTGTCTTTGTGGTTACTGTAGAGAAGGAACAATTTGGCAGTGGTTTGAGTATGAGGATGGCAGAAAATAACTACGTTGCATGGGAAACTTGGATGATGGGGAAGAGAGAAGTATTGTCTTCAGCAGGGAGAGGAGCTGTGGAATTGACCTGTGTTAGATCAGTTGTACTCCAGCCTGATCCAAAGCCCAGTGAAGCCAGTAACCTCAAGAGATGCTGGAAGAAGCCCGGGGCAGGTGTTTGTCTCCATAACTCCGAGTGCAGTTTACAGAAATACCCAAATGCCTTTTATCTTCAGTTTGTATGGTGTACACAGAGAGCCTCCAAGCCACACAGTAAGCTACAGCAATGGCAGGCTGGGATCCAACATTCCTTAAAATAGCTTTCAGTCTGGTAAACCACAACAGTTATAAATGTCCATATATGCACACAGCATGCTACAAAGCAAATCAGTAAAACTCTCAATCTCCAATTTAGGCAGAGCGCATCATCTCATTAACAGTCCTTTGCATATGCAAAAGCATTGCACAGTTTCCTTCCCTTGCAGGAACTGTTTCCAGTGCTTATTGTCTGCAACTGGTCCGAGTGGTCATGTAAACTATTTGCATCTTCACCATCCAGTCACTGTCTGCTACCAGCACAAACTGAGGAAATGAATATCAATCATTCAGTGATTATTTGCAGGAAATAAAAGCATGAGAGAGCAGCCTGCCTGAGCTGAGAAGGAAGGATAGAAATGTGGTACTCTTTATAACTGGAACCGAAAATATGATTCATGTGTTTTTATGAAATATTGTGAAGCTCTTTTGTGAGCACTAATTCTTTGGCTTAGCTGCTGCTGCCATTGAACTCAAAGGGAATATTTCTTACTAGCTTCAGTGAGAACAGGATCAAGCCATTGTCTGTGTGTTTTTCCTTGCCTTAACTGGTGTTGCTGTTTGTTAAGATATTTCAAGGGTGAACAATGCATTTGATTTCCCAGAATCTTTCTAAGCACTCCTAGCTAATCCTGCATCCAGCACAGCCCCTGTGGGTGTGAAATAGGCTCTGAGCTGGCTGTTTCCAGCCGAGCCTTTTGAAGCCTCTGTAAAATACTGACTCTTCTCATTTACTAGCTGCTTTTCTGAAGTCTGCTTTGTGCTTTGGGTTTTGCTAAGCTATGCTACAGTAAGCATGCTGAATAGTGGGCAGATTGTCTTCGGTCACTGCTCTGGAAATCAAGATGTGTGCTGGCTCACTTAATTTCTTCACAAATACCTTCTTGAGCTACGGGAAGTACAATGCTGCACCATATCCCAGAGTGTTAATTTTTAATGTCGTATGCATTTAATGGACTCGACTGTAATTATGAGTCCCACGGCACAACAAATGCTGCTGGCAGAGTGGAAAAGACCACTGCAGGTCCATGTGGCTCCACAATTAGGAATGGAGGCATTGATCATTTCCACTCCCAAGAGCAGCAGAATGGGATGTATGAATTTAAAACAAAAGCTCCAATGGAAAGAAAGGTATCTGCAAGGCAATAAGCATTCCCCTGCAGTCTATTAAATTCAGACTTTGCAGCATCATCCTGCTGCATTAAATAAAACTGAAACCTGGGCAGGGCAAAGTGGTTTTGACAAGCCTATGCCTATGTCCAGAATAATCTAAGTGAATAAGCAGCCAGGCAGCAATGCAGACAGGAGATGGTACAGAAATTTCTCAATGTTGTTCTTTTTTTTTCTACATGGTGTTATTTTTAAGTTAAGAATCCTTATTTCTTTCTTACACGAAACCTCAACGCTGCCTCTTTTCAGACTTAGAGCTGGAAGGAAGCTGTCTGAAAGAGAGGAGGTCTGGAATTTTTAGGGCAGATCCCATTGACGTATCTGGTTGGGCAAATTCTTTCTTGTACGATGAGCCCAAGTGGACTTCACAGAGCAGCATAGGACTCTTCCTTTGGCAGATTTAATATAGGATAAGGCTGCAGCATTCAAACCCTCAGATTTGAACCCTTGGATGCTGCTTGCCTTCTATCAGCTTGTCAGAGTTTTGAATGAAGGTGGAAGGGATTTGAGATAAATTATTCTCATTTTGTCCTGCCTCTGAAAACCATACTCATATATCCCTGGTGTTACACTGGATTATTTTGAAATCAGGTATTTCATTTCCTTTTTAAGGCGTAGTCATCTTTTGTTGTGTAACTCATAATGTACAGCTATGAAAACCATTCTGAAAGGAAAGACAAACTGAATACCTGAATTACACGGATGGCAATGATTTCTCTGAATGCAATGGTATAAAATCAGTCCTGTACTGGACTTGGTGCACTCAAGCTTAAATCAGATCCTAATATTTTTGCTTGTGCAAGAAATAGATATAACAAGTGAAAAATATTAATACTTCTCTGTGACAGGAAATTAAATAGATTTGTTTGTTTGTTTTCCAGGCTTATATTTGGCACTCTTTACCCAGCATATTATTCTTACAAAGCCGTGAAATCGAAGGACATCAAAGAATATGTGAGTAACAAGATTTATGGCTGTGTTGCAGGATTGTTTCCTAAAATTGCTCCTCACCAGGTTATAAAGGTGTCACCTGTATTCTCATACAGCAGGACAAGGGGATGTCTGCCCTGAAGGTGGACTGGCTGAGTGCTAGGCACAAGTCTCAGATAAGACAACTTAAGTTCCTGCTTCTGGCTCCCCTGCAGAGCCAGCCTGCCCTTTGACAAATGCATGCTATTCCTCTGGTTCTGTGAGCTATATACAACAGACTTAAAAGGTGTTTGGCACCCAGAGCCTTGCATGCTTTCCTTTGTTTCTGAAGAGCAGCCTAAATCAAAGCCTTTTCAAAAAGCCTTGAAGCTTTGGCTGCTCATTCTAAACAAGGATCAGAAGAGGCAACTTGAAGAGCCTGCGACTGAATCCACAGAGACGTGGGTAGAAACATCATTCCTTATGGAGTGACCTATTTACAGACAGATCTGGCAACTGGCTGTGCTATTTTGTCTTTTACTGACAAATACCTTCATGGACCCAGTTTCTAAACAGAGATGGGCCCATTAGGGAAAGTGAAATGTGGGAGAATTGAAACCACTTGGACGCTGTGGGGTCCTGTAGGATTTATAGTGCCCTGCACAACGTAAGCTCTGTTAAGTTTGCTGAACCCAGCTCAGCCTCCTGATCTTGCCTCTTCAATCCTCTCAGCATCTCAAGGATGACAAGGCTGTTTTCTCCTCTGGGTTGCAGCCTTGATGGCTATCCTATTAAGTCCTTTGAGCAAGCTCAAACTGAGGCTCACAGTGGCTGCTTAGATTTTTTCCCTTTATCATCTCCATTAGATAATGGTTGTGGATATTTTAAGAAAATTGTTATGGAACACATCAGGTGTTGCCTTTCAACCCTTGCACTGCTGTGCTGATTCTCAAGGTTTGTGTACCCCTTGCTTGGAGGTGCTGGTGGATAGTAGCAGCCCATCAGTGTCTACCACTGATAAATTGCACTTCCATCTTTTTTTCTGGATTTTTTTTTTTAGTTGATTCTTCAATTCCTATTAGAAATTCAGTTGTGAAAGAGGGACTCGCATCAGATGTGGGGTCATGACCCAAATGTGGAAACAGCTGCTCTGCACTTAACGTTGTTTTTCAGTGTATCACACCAGTTGTAGAGATATGGTAGTTAGGGGTTTAATTACAAAAAAAAAAAAGCTGTTTACACTGACACAACCCTTCACGTACTGGTCTAAAATTATATCACCGTAGTTTATTTTTGTTCTTCTCAGTAATAGTCATTTTGATAAATGTTGTTTGAGGCTGCTTGAGGTCCATCCCCACCAGATCTTGGTTTATGTTTAGAATTTTTGCTGGCAGTAATGGCTAACTGACAGAACTGTGCTAGCAGCGAGGCTCTGAGCGAGCTGCAGTTAGGTAAAAAGTCTGGCAGAAGCTGCCTTGGGAAGGCAGTCCTCCCATGCCTGTAGCAGTGGCACTTTACACTAAGTATAAGAACAAATCTAAGTGCTGGGGGAGCACAGCTGGGCACCTGGTGCTCAGGGGGATAATTTCAGTACTTGTGGGCAGATGGAGGAGCACTACAGGCTCTGTCCCCGCTTCACTGGGGAGAGGATGGAGCAAGGCATTTCGAGCTGGTGAGTTTCAGCCTTATTGGCACCTCCACCGTTCTTCCCACTGCAGCACCAGGTGTGGATGTCCCTCTTGTGCTGCCTTCTTTGCGGCCTTCCCTCATTCTGTTGCAGCCCTAAATAACACCTCCAACTCATCTATCTATACCTATGCCATGCTTTTTAATTTGGAGGTGCAGATTCCTAAAGCTTTTTGAGCTTTCAGTTTTACAGTTTGTCTTTGGGAAAAAAAAAACAGTATTGAGAGAGAGCAAAAAGTTGCCTTCTCACCTCCAGTGCTTGGAAATTATTCCTCATTGCTTGATAAATGTTACTGGAGGTGCTGGTGGCAAGTGGCAGGTAATGGTATTTCTCTTCAGCCCAAGAAGAGCCAATACCACACACATCAGAATGGCTTAGCTGTGCCTTTTAGATACGTTTATTGATCACTGACAAAACCCCACAGATTTGTGAATTGCTTGAGACACTACAGTTTCCCTGACCAAATCTCAGTTCCCCATGGGACTTCTTCCATGTCTGTCACTGTCACCTCAAAGGAGATACTCCATAAAACACCCACCAGTCCATAATGCATTTACCATAGATAAGCACAGTGACAGCACAGCACGTGCTTTTGCAACCAGTGTGAAGTAAAATGCTCTCACCTAAGCCCTCAGAAGGGAATGTGAGCTAGTTCACTTGCCCTTGCCCCTGCAGTGGGCTCAGGGGGTGTATGTGGGCAGGCACTGTTGCTGATGCATGCTAACTCAGCTCAGTTCCTGAGCCCTGGGTCACTGCACATTGCACATTACCTATCTGTCTCTTCCTGAATAGTTTCCCCTGCCTGTATGTATTATGTAAGTACATTTTGTCTTAATTGCAATTCCGTCCCCACCCTAGTATTAACCTTGTCTACCAAGATGAGCCAAATGAAAATTTTAATACCCTGTGATAAGGCTGTGGCCCTTTCCTGGCCAGTAGAGCTTCCCCCATGGGAATGGCAAATCAAGCTGTCCTCCTTGTCCCTACACCAACTCTAGATCCTTCCTTCCTTGAGGGTTTGTGTGGAAATCTGCTGTGTGCTATGTACTGAGGTGGGGGGGAGTCCTGGCATCTTCAAGTTGTTACTGATTGTTCAATATGTAAGTGGGGAAAGCCTTTTTTCAATGAGAGTCTCTGCACACGTGCCTGTATGAGATTACTTGAGCTCTTGGGGGGAAAATGCCTGTTGCTGAAAGCTACTGCTTTCTTTTACCAGGTCAAATGGATGATGTACTGGATAATATTTGCGCTCTTCACGACAGCAGAGACGTTCACGGATATCTTTCTTTGTTGGTGAGCATCAGTTGAGAACAGACTGTTGAACTGAAATGGAAATAAAATCAAAATGTCTGTAGGGGAAATAACAGGGCCCAAGTGTGCGCTCTCTTGAATACAGGATTAGCACCTTCAGATGCATAGGGATGTTTAGTGTGGAGGAGCCACGCTTCCTTTCTCAGTGCTGTCGTAAGGAAAGGAAGAGAGAAGAACTGCTCAGTGGTATCTCAATAAGAAATCACCACAGGAGTCTCTGTCCCCTGCCTGTAAGAAATAGGGCTCTGTCAGATGCATATCTGTCAGATGCACATCTGATAGCTGATTTCTATGCTTACAGAGGTTGTCACATAAAAATAGTATCTTTAGCTACAGGCACAGTTCTAGGCTTAGATAGTTGTGCTAACTACACTGACTCTGTGGATCAGGCAGAAACAGCCCTGCAGCACAGAACTTAGTTTCTAGGTTGCTGCCTGGGTCATGTTTCTTCAGACATCTTGCCTATTTCTTCCTGGGTGGAATGGAGTTACAGTTTGATGGAGGACAGTGACAGTCTGAACTGTGGAAGGCTCACTGGTGCCAGTGGAAGGATTCCTGGCAGGCTGTCAGGGCTTGAGTACATGAATGCCTAATCATCAGATTCAATTATTTAAATTGGGATGCTCAAGTTTGAAAATACTTGATTTCTTGCCCGTTTTATTACGGCTTCTTCTTAAGTAGTGAATACCAGTGAGTTCGATAGACTTGAGACTGAAGATTTAACTATAGAGCACGGCCCTGACCTCTTAAGATTGCATGCCTCTAGTGGGTCCTCCAGACAAAGGGAGTCGGGTTATTTGTCAGCATGTCAGATCTGTTGAAGAGGAGATAAAAGACTTTATTGTCTCTTTATCTAATTTGCATGCAAATCTACTTTCACTGTCCTCATCTGGAGGGATTTCCATGTTGTTTTCTTTTGGAGGATGTGCTATTTGGATCTCCCTGTAGGAATAGCGCAGGGCTCGTCATTTCCACAGAGCCTATGAAATCAAGTATGCTGCAGAGAGCCTCAGTGAGGTGGAAGATCAATTTGCCAGATCCGTGCTCACAGTATCTCAGGGCACAGACCATCTCAGGGACCCTAAATGCTGTACAGCCCAACTGGCTTGGTGATGGCCAAGGGGGGAATCAGAAGGCATAAAAGTGCAAGAACTTGTAAGCTGGGACAAGGGCTATTTAAGAAGAAAGAAGAAGGAAAAAAAGATTAAAAGAATAAAAATGCCGAAGTGATTCACAGTGGTTGCTCACCACCAGCTCAATGAGTCTCCAAGTAACCTCCTGCAGTTTAATTGCTGAGCATTATGACATATAATATGAAACATTTCTTTGGTCATGTGGGTCAGCAGAGAAAAGATGCAGAAAAGTACTTGATTCAGTGTAAGAACTGCTCGGGAACAGCTAAAATGTTGGTATGTTAATAGCAGTATTTTCATCATATATCCAAAATGGCACCCTGCCAGCTACTTTGAAGGGAAATTAACTCTATTCCAGCTGAAACCAGGGCAGAAAGGCAAAGAAAAGCAAAGAGATGAAAGATGCATAAGTATATTGATGATATACTGACTTGTTGGTTTGCTGTTTACTCATAAGGACAGTAAATGCAATTAAGGCAGCATTTGTGCTCATTGTGTGCACACAGCTCCTCTTATCACACAACAGACCATCATTTTCCAGACCATTAAATAACAGCTCTGATACTTGAGTAAAGATTTACACATGCCTAGTTGCAATGTGTGTGCAGGTAAGTTAATGTCTTTGGTCTTTGGATTCTTTGGTAAACAGAAGCCTTAAAGCCAGCCAGTATGCTGAGCGTCTGATTAAGAGCAGTCACCAAAGTGGGAGTAGCCATTAATAGCTCTTTTTTTTCTAGGTTTCCATTCTACTATGAACTCAAAATAGCTTTTGTAGCTTGGCTGCTGTCTCCATACACTAAAGGCTCCAGCCTCTTGTACAGGAAATTTGTTCACCCAACTCTATCTTCAAAAGAAAAGGTAATCACAGGTGCCTGGGTGGAACAGATTTACTCTGTGTTTGCTATGGTCTTAGTACCACTCATTTTCATTGAAGGACTGAGATTTCCTTATTTTCTTCCTTTGTCAGTTGATCCTCTCTTTTTGGTTGATGTGTTTTTGTTTTTTAGTGGTGGTTGTTTTTCTAAATACTGGCACCTGTTCAGCTCACTCATGTATATTAGCTCATGTTTGTGCACTTGAGAAGTTGGGAGGGAGGGGATAATAATACCTCCAGAGCTGTTCTGCACGTACTAGCTGAGTATAGCTGGAGTGCTGTGTTATGGCTGGATGTAATGATTAGAGAATCATGGTCTGACAGCCAGGGCTCCTTAACTTCGTACCCAGCTCTGTGCAGCAATGAGACAAATAGTCCAACCTGTCTGAAAGGGGCGTAGCAAGCACTTGCCTGACTGGGAGAGGTGCAGAATGTTGAAGACATGTAGCGTGTTGAGGTCTCGGCTAAGAAATGTCCTGCTGAAGTTTATGATGTTAATTTCAGAGGAGACATTATAGCTTGAATTGCTTGCCTGCCTGGGAGACTACCATGGCTGTGAATGGGACATTGTCAGGCAGATCCATCTGGCTTGTATGAATACGTGGGCTAAGAATAGCTATCAGTCACATATCAACATACAAGCTACTAAGAAGTGAATAACTGTTTCCCACGTTGCCAGCCATGGCAGTGAAAGATCTCTATTTAAGCCAGAGGCAGTGCATGAACAATTGTGTCTCAGTCCTGTCCAAGGGAAACAGTGAGGATCAGTTCCCTTTTTGTTTCCTGGGAAATTTTGTTTATGCTTCTCACAAGTAGTGCTAATGCATTTTGGGTTACCACCTCTCATCTGGAATGAGAACAGGAATCACTAAGAACCCAACAGCTTCCTACAGTCTCCAGCTCCTACTAACCCAGTATATCCAGTAGCTAATTGCTGGAAGTTGTTGTCATCCGTTATCGTCTAAGTCCCTGTGTCCTGGGGGAAGAGAGCACAAGGACAGGAACTTTCCCTGCATATTGTGCAGTGTTAAAATCCAGACCCTTTAGGCCTATAAGTTCCATGGGCATTTTGGAGATGGACACTGCAGTGATATGCACAGATACCTCAGATACTTTTGAGAGGACCAGTACTGGACCCAGGGCAGTAGAACTGCAGCTGACCAGCATCATGCTGCCATTTCTTTTTCACTACGCAGCAGTCCAGTTTGTCTTTAGACTTTAGACATAGACTGCCAATGGCTTCTGACACATTCTTTCCAGGTAGATGTGTCTGCCTTGCTTCCAGCGCCTATCATGGTGGTTGCTCTGTGCAAGTATGTTCCAAATTTGGATCTCAGTCTTCCATTCATGGAATAAAGAGATCCCAAAAGCTGACTCCCTACTGACTAGCTGACTATTGACTACTAGCTGACTACTGCTCCCCTGCAAATCTTCCCCATTTGCAAATGAACTTCTCCACTGAAGTACAGGGGAAAGGGAGCACGTCTACTTCCACAAAGTTTGCCAAGTTTGAGGCTGGGAACGCTGAACTTATCACTCTTTTGGGGTTTTTTTTGTTTGTTTTATTGTCTGCTGTGACAGGAGATCGATGACTGCCTCGTCCAGGCGAAAGACCGGAGCTACGATGCCCTCGTGCACTTTGGGAAGCGGGGCCTGAACGTCGCGGCCACAGCAGCTGTCATGGCAGCTTCCAAGGTAAAGGTGGGGGTCAGGATGGTGATATTAGCATCTCATCCACATCCATTGCCACCTACAGCCACGGTGTGGAGGGGGAGACATACCAGGGGTAGGGATTCTCTCACTGGTTTTCATCATACCTCCCAGTCTGCTTCCTATTCACCAGCCACAGATGTGCCTCTTGGGATGAAGACAGTAAATGTGGTGCTTAGAGAACCTGTATGAGGTTGTAAATGCAGCATGAAAACTAGGGTCTGCTTCAGGCAGGCCTCTTTTTTTTTTATTATTTTCCATGCCATTCAGTACCCTGGTGACAACATTAGCAGTGCTGTTCATCACAGCCTGCACTCTTTGTTCTCTCTATCAAAGTGAGGGCATGAATGATGCTAACATGAACACAGCACCCTAGCTAGGAAGTAGTTTTTTGTCAGTACCTTGCTGGTGAAATGGAAGGCCCAGCTTATTATCTCTTGTGCTGCATTCTTGAAAAGTCTAGTGACCTCTAGTCCAGATGCTAACAGAAAGTACCTGTGACTAGAAGTTCAGGAAGGCTGAAAATTTGTCTGACAGATTTATGCATAACATACCTGGTGTGTAATTCTCTGGGGAAGTGCTTATGTGAGAGTGAATGGGAAGTGACATTAGTTGCTTTTGGGGAATGAGTAGATGCTGGAGGAGTGGTCTTATCTGAGGAGGTGTGTCCTGTACTCCGTTCCTGGCTTAGAGCCAGGACCAGAAAATAGCTGTTATCTCTTTCTTTGCATGAAAGGTGCGAGAACTTGATAACTGGGTATTGTGGTTCTGCTCTATGGCAATGGATTACCACGGCTTAGGATAGATGTGCATAGCAACAATACTCTTGTGGAACAAGACTTGTCTAAAAAATGCAGCTTTCATGCAGCCAAATACAGTGTTTCTCACAGAAGGGTAACGGAAACATATGAGCAAGATGGATGCTGGCATTAGGAAAAACGCATGAATGGGAGTTGAAGGAAATTATTTTCCTCTGCCAAATGCTTTTCATATGACCCTGGGCACATCATTTAGTATATCCTGGCCTTATCTCCTGTAAAAATGAATAATTCATCCTTGGGAGGCCAAATATGGTATAGGCCATTAAGCAAGTGGAATTGAAGAAGATGTTATGTAAGTGTGAGCCCCTGAGATGTGTCATATACACACAGAGTGACAAGGATACACAAAAACTGTTCCAAAAAAAGGCCAAAAATTACCTCCTGTTCCACTGCCAAGCATTGGGCAGACTATGGCTGTCAGCCCAGCTCTGTTCTACTGGTACACTGCTCTGCTGCTCTTAAGATTCTCACTGCCTTGAAATACAGCTCTAGTGGCAGCAGGAAACCAGGCAGAATGGAGAAGACGAGGAAAGTACTGCTTTGTTTCAGATAATGAAGCTTCATTTTCATTGCTGGAAGAAACCAACATGTGCTGTGACTTCTGTGGTACTGCTGTATGGAACATCTGCCAGTCAGACTTGAGAGTAAACAGTTAAAATATTGCTTCCTGTGCTGGACCAAGAGAGTCTTTCCTGCATGTTTCTCTGGGGATAGGGAAGTGTTCTGTTAATAGGATGGAGAGGTAGTCATCGGATTGATTGATTTATACAATAATGCAAGGAACATTCATTCCTTTCATTCAACCTTGAGATTTAAGTTACGGCATACTTGAGGAAAAATGTGATTCCTGACTTCTTCACCACTTCAGCATGTAGCCCTGGCAAGTTGCTTGCTTCTGTGCTCCTCAGGGTGCAGTTTCAGCAGACAGAGTAAGGTGATCTAACAGCCCTCCTTTTCCAAAATGGGGGTGCTGCTCCCACTCCTGTTGGGTTTCTCTGCACCAGCTGTTTGGGTCTTTGCATTAGCTCTAATCCATTTCAGTGCAAATTCATAAGGAGAAAGAAAGGCAGCACCATTTTTCTTATCAAGTGGAGGAGTCCACAAGCGTGTCCCATGAGTGCTGGAGCCAACGCAAGGGGAGGGACAGAAGTGCATCATGAGGAGTATGGGTGGAGGAGATAAAAACAAGACCTTCCCTTCCTGGTTGCGAGTAGGAGATGGTTCAGCTGTGCTGCTCATGGAACCGCACCCTTAATACCTTTACTCTTTCATGGTACAGTAGTTGGGAGTGGTTGAGGCAGTTTCTGTCCCTGCCCTTCTCAGCCTGAAATTTTGGGCAGGGGAAAGTTGAATGGTTGTGACTGTGATTTTCAGCCTGATGTGTTCCACTGTAGGAGGGCTGAGCTGCGGTGCCTCCAGTATTCAGGATGTGAGGTGCAGTGGCTCAGGTGTGGTCGTGTTCCTATTTAGCTATCCCTGCTGCAGGGGGAATGGTTTCCAAGAGCTGAACGATGGTGACAGCTTCTGTTGTCCTGGTTTTCAGCCGCTGTTAAATGTATGTCAGCACCCTCACTGGCACACTTGAGAAGGAGGTATAACAGAGGCAGATTATCCTGTGTGAGTGAAGTTTAAGTGATTATTTATCTAGAAAACACTTTGAGCTGACAGATGCCAAACCAAACTGCAGTGCTGTCCTCAGAGGAAAGTTTCCAGGGAAGAGAAAAGAGAATAGTAGTTCTGAGCCTTATCCTGACTTTCCCTATGCCAGAGTTTAAGGGTATCCAGCTTGCCTGAGATAAGAGTTGAGTGTAGATTGGAAAGTGAGCTCTGAAGAGGCTTATTGGGTTTCAGCCTTTACCAGGTCTGTTAAAACTGTGACCTACAGAGGTGGCCGTCTATTCAGAGCTATTGAGCACCTGCAGGTGCCATGGAAAACCGGGCTTTTACCAGCAAATGGGAGGATTGCTCTTCTTTTCTTCTTCACTTGGTTTAAAGGATGAGGAAAACAAGATTTCCTATTAAGAAATAGACCCTCAGACATTGCAGTGGGAACCTTCTGCTGGCAAATACACAGCGAGATGCTAGGTTAAAAGTGTGCTCCATCTAGACTTGTTTTTCAGTAAATTAGCTTCAGTCTAAAGCCTCCTGTACTTGGAGATCTGTCTCCCACTGTGCACAGCCCTGTCCATTCCTGTCTTTGTCCCATGGTGTGGGACATCTTGTGCTCCCAGTGGTCCGGATCCATCACGATCTCTTCTCTTTTGTGATCTCTGTGTGAAGCCCATCGTTCTTTTTTTTGTTTTTTTTTTAATCAAACAACACAGCACAGTATTGCTGCCTCTCTGATTATGCTTTGTGTCTGACAGGCTGCTACTTAGATGTTTCTCATAGGCTAAGAAGCTGCAAGCTGAGCACAGCCACACACCTTGCTTATCTCTGTTCCCTGACCTCTTTCCCCTTTCTATCTTTCTTAGCCAAGTACAAGCTTCCCTCTCTCCCTCCTCCTGCTCCCCTCCACGGCTCTGTTTTGTTTTGAAGCCACAGTTGTGCTAATGTTGGCACAAACCTGTGCCAGTTCATTTTACAGGCCGAGGAGCTGTCAGTGTCCCAAGTACCCTGAGCCTGCCCAGCTGGCTCACTTGGGTGTTTTCTCTCTCTGAGTAGAGTCTATTTTTGATGCTCTCTAAGCAGACAGGGCATTACATAGCTGGGTTTATTACCCCTTCTAGGTGCTCAGCACGGATCTTTTCCCTACCCCGAACAGCCTGTGTCCCCTCTAAAGAGCATAATCTTATTTGGGGCTCTGTAATCCTGTCCTCATTGGTTGGTCATCTGTCACACACTGTGACTTCAAGTGGGTCAGTGCTAAGTGGTGGGATTAGATGACCAAGCATTAAATCTTGCTGCTCTTTGCATGTTTTTTGTTCCAGTTAGTTCAGCCATTCCCACTCCCAAGGAGCCGTGGGCACTGATCACCTCTTTCCCGGCTCAGTTTGCAGCAGCAGAAGAGAAGCACAAAAGGAGCCTGATTTGTGTCTAAGTGGCTCGCCTTCCCTCTGCTGTCACTGCAGAAAAAGAGCAGCAGCAGGGCTGTTATGGGACACAGACAGTGGGGCAGGTGCAAGGCTTTGGCTGGGCAGCAGAGCCATCAGATGGAGGCCTGGGCACAAACAGGCCTTTCATTGGCGGTGCTGTGGTTTTTGATGAGAGCAGCTGAGACACGTGTGTGACTGCAGTGAGGAGTGGTACTGATGGCTTGGAGGCAGCACCAGCCTCTTCTGGCACACCCATAGGAGCAGTTGCTCATCTTCCACCTGTCACCCCAAGCTTTCCACCACCTGCTGTCTTCCTCTGTCCCCAGTTGCTAACTCTCCACTCCTTCCTTCCCTTCTCTGGAGCCTGCTGTGCTCTGCCTTTGCTTCCTCTGTTTCCATAGCCCTTCCATCACCAGTTCTACACTCTTCCAGCTTTTAACTTCTTCCATTCTCCTTTAATCTTCCTCATTTCCCAGATCATATTCTCTTATTCCTCATCCTGAACAAACCAATTCAGCCAAACAGGTCAGTGTAATTTTACCACAAGACAAATCCTGCCCCCAACTACTTAACCACCTCAAATTGCAGTCTCAACTCTGTTCTTCAGAGCAGAGCTGCAGAAAACATCCTGCAGCCATCAGGCCATCACAAGTCCAAGATTTCTAATAACATAACTCCCTTGGTCTTCTGTTTGCACGCAGCTGATGCTGTTCCTGTTGTGTGCCCCTTGGTGCAGCCTGCCTTCAGGAAAGGGAGTAGGGGGCACAGCACACTGCTGGCAGTGGGCACAGAGCCTTGGCAGGAGATGATGAACGAGGTGGAAGGTGCAGGCATGCATGACTGGTGTCGATGAAAAGACATTTATGCCTAATAAGTATGAGAAACAGTCCAGGAGCCTTTCATGCGTAGTGAAATATGGCTTGCAGTGCTGCCAGAGCTAGCAGTCGTTCTGGATATCTGTTAAAAAGGCCAGACATGCAGATGAAGGGGGAAGCATTCAGTACTCACATCCACCTCTTTAACTGCTGCATCAGCAGTTCCCAAATTGCTTCAGCTCAAGACCACCTGACAGGTCTGGCAACATCACTTCCATTCCCTCTGGGCTCATCACCCCATAGGGGCTGCAGCA